TTAAGTAGATCGAGCTCAATTCTAATTGGTCAACAAAGAAAAGTAAGAGTTAACAAAGTGTAGTGCTGCAAGTCCCAAGTAGAATGCATTTAAGCAAGCTAAGTTTGGGGTAAGAAAGTAGGAGGAACAGAAAAAGTCCCCAAATATTATATCAATAGATTGAATACTAAGAGATAATGCCAAAGGTAAGGTAGAAAATAACAAAGTAAGATTTTCAGAATGGTTGATACCATTAACATGTTTTGATTGATGCCGAATACTTAGAATCATTGATGCAATTGATATACCTTGGTTGATATTTAGGTACTCAGAATGATGGATGCCATTAACAAGTCTTAGTTGATGTCAGGTATCCAGTATTGTGGATGTGATCTATCACAACATATGAGTTAAGAGCACTGAGAAAAATTACATAGTTAGCAAAGAAGGTAGTCAACGTTGAAGGTGGGAGACCATGTTTCCTCAATGCATCCCCAACTACATACATAAGTCGATCTATAAAGATCAGAAGAGTTATACTGATGAAAGAAGAAGACCGTTGGAATTTGAGATGGAAGATTATGTTTCCTTGAAAGTAGTACCGACTATGGGCATAGGAAAATCAAAGAAAATGAGGAAATTAAATTCGAGTTACATAGGACTATTTGAAATTCTTGTAAAAGTAGGCCCAATGGTGTATCAGATAGCTATACCTCCATAGTTGAGTAAGTTATATAATGTTTTTCACGTGTCACAACTGAAAAAGTATTAACCAGACTAAGAGCATGTCATTGAATATGAAGAAGTTGATCTACAAGATGATCTGACCTATGACATGTGACCCGAACGAATCATTGATAGACATGAAAGAAGATTGAGAAATAAAAGTATTCCATTTGTAGAAGTGGTCTGGAAAGGATTGTAACCACAGGAAGCTACATGGGAGGTAGAAGAAGAAATGCAAAAGCAATATCCAGATTTTATGCCTCAAAGTAATTATCTAAATTTCGAGGACGAAATTTTATTTACGGGGGGAGAATTGTAACACCCCGAATTTTATGATTTAGGATGAGTAGAAAAGAGAAAAATTTATTAAAATTATTTATTTGCCAAATAAAGGGGGAAAATTATGGAATAATGATTTTGAGGGTTTAGAGATATTTTGGAAAAGTTCATTCCCCAAAAAGTGGCTTAAATAATTTTAATGGATAATTTTAGGAGAAAAATAGTCAGGAGTTGACTTTTGATATGAAATTCTTAGGAAAATTATTTTATGGGTCAAAGAAGCTAATGGATAAGAAAGATCCATTTATGATATTTTGGTTTAATTTCTGGATATATCTTATATTTCAGAAAAATAGGAGAAGGGATAGGATTGGAGAAATAATTATTTTGGGAGGGCAAAATGGTCCAGAAATGCTGTAAACACGTGCTGCCTTCTCCTCAAGACATCTGAATCCTTTCTCCATTACACAGCTGGTTACCCACGTGTTGCTCCATCCTTATAACCATCAGAATTCATTTTCTTCCCCATTTTGTTACTGCCCGAGTCTTGAAAAAGAGAGAGAGACGGAGAGCGAGAGAGGGAGAGCACGGGAGAAATAGCGTTCAGCGAAACCGGAAGAGCGATCGGAGGCTGTTTTACTACATGCAGTCTTGGATTCTGAGTAAGGTGGGTCTCCTAAACCTCCTCCCATCTTTGTTTACTTGGATTGGTGACTGGTTGGAGCGTTAATGAGGAACGAAGCTTAAGTTTCAGTGGGAGAAACTTTCGATTAAAACTGGAACTTGATGATGATGATAGCTTAATGCTTGTTGACGATGATGGTTCATGGTTTCTAGCTTGCATGTTGATTTTTGTTGCTCCAAGTAAAGGGTGCTCTGTTTTGGGTTTAATCGAATAGGGATTATGTTTTTGAGCTAGGAGGGTTTTTCTTTTGTTCTTGCCGAACTGAGGAAACGTGGTTGATATATGCGGTTGCATGTGTGCTTACTGGTTGTGTGTTGGAATGGCAGAACCCAACCCCCTGTTTTGATGAGTTTAGCGTTAGAACTCTAGGTGAAAATGGAAAGACGGTATAGGTGATTAAATGTGTTGGTAGTCATAAATATATATATATATGTATGTATATATAAACATGGCTGTGCTGGGCGCTTACTGGTTGATGCTCCTAAATGACTAATGAGTAATATAGAATGTTTTGCAGCTCAAGTTGAAGTTGCTGTTTCGGGGGTTCAGTCTTGGGTTCTAGAGGAAGAATGAGTGGAAGTTCGGATATTTAAAAGGAAGTGTATGAGGAATAAAGGTGAATAGAAGCATGTGTATATGTGTGTGATAAAGTGACGAGAGGCTCATGGGAAAAGTAGAGGAGACCGAACTGACACGCACACACACACACATATATAGTTTCGGTACATGTGTATATATATAGAGATATATGGAGAGTATTTTCGGGCAAGTGGGTTTCAAGAGGAACTGTAATTTTAAACTGGGGACTTTCAAATGGTGGATAGAATGATGTTTATGAAGCTGGAATTTCATATCAGTAAGAAAGGAATGTTGTTATTATAAATTATAAGCACGTTGAAAACATTCAAGGGTGCTAATTCATTGTTGGAAGAATTTGAACTTGCTCGATTTGAATTCAAATGATTAAAATTAGAAGTCAAAGATAGAGGACATATAGTTAAGTTTTCAAATGTAGAGAGATATTAGTGGGTTGAATTATGAATGTTCAAGTATGTTCGTAAATTTGGAAAATATTTCCAGATTAAGTGCAAGGTTATGTGAATCATTGGAGATATAAACATACATGTGTATAGGGATGTGCTGTAATGAAAACTCAATATATAGTTACTGTTTAGTATCTCCAGATGTTGAACAAGTATTGTAGGTTATTAAATTGAGTTTAGAAACTTCAAATGAAGTGGTGCTGGTATGTTTTAGGGACGTGGCATAGTTTGATTGAGATGCTAGTTACTAAGTAAGGTAATACTATGGGTTGAGATAAGGAAGGAAGCGTTCCAAAGATAATAGTTCAAATAAGAAAAATTGTCCAGGATGACCAACTATTAAGTAAGGGTAGAGATTGAAAGAGATTGGGATTTAAAGAGAGTTATTTAATTTATAAATTATGTTGGATCAAGTATTAACCAACCCTTACTAATATGATAGGTTTATATATCTGCTAAAGCCTACCGAAGAAGCTAAGAGAAAGGAAACAAGTAAGGTTTGATTTTGAAGCAGAAGGTTCAGGTAGTAGTTCTTTCCTCCCTTACACTTGTGTATGATTGCTGCATGTCTGTTTGTGCCATATTACTTTTCTAAAGCATGAGAACATGTAATCCTTAATTCCTTGCATGGATTTTTAACCGTGACCACGTGCAGCTGATAAACATGGGGCAGTGATTGCCAATTATATGCGCGGCAGTGATTGCCAATTATATGCGCGGCAGTGATTGCCAATTATATGCGCAGCAGTGATTGCCAATTATTAGCGCATTATTTATTCAGCTTGTCTAATAGACATGGGGCAGTGATTGCCAGGTATGTGCGCATTATTTATTCAGCTTTTATATCTGTCATTGTGCATAAATGCTTAATTGCATTAGCTTGCAAGGTTATGTTCCACTTTGGCTTGTTTTGCATTCTTTATGTAATCTGCACATTTGTTTGATGGAAATTACTACTACGGGGATTCTTCGGAATCTCACCCCCCAATTTATGATGAACAGTGAAAGCTAGTAGCCTGAAGGACAAGGAGGTTGTTTAAGAAGAAGGTGGGCTGGTTGAAGAGCAGAGATACCTGTTTTAATTCTGTAAATTGTATAGCAAAATATATGGGCAAGTAACTTTACTTGCTCTATGGAAATATTATTTTGTATCCTTTAGAAGAAGGAAGTGAGCATTGCCAGGTGCACGTATATGCTGTCAACCAAGAGCGTTGCTTTATTTTAAATATAATATTATAAGATTGTATAGTATGAAATTATTTTAGATGATAATAGATTAAGTTGAAAGCAGGGTTGATATTGGATCACTCATCAGTTATCTGAAGCTTTGAAATATTTGATCAACGGATTCTAATGTTAAAGGATAAAAAAAAAAAATCCCTGTCTTTTCTCAGGACAGAAACCTGGCGTTAGTGATTCACAGACGTTAAAATGATCCTATTAGTATATAAAAGTGAGGTGTTGCAAACATTGATTAATTTAAAGGCTCCAATGGTTTCAAACGCAGTACAGTAGTATCGGGGAGGGGGAGTTAAGAATTAATTAGAGCATAAAGCATTTTCAAGAGCTAAATTTAGAGCTTTGAACCACTTTTTTTGGAGCTCTATTGCACTAGTTATGAATTTTTAAAGTATTTTAGAAAATCTCATCCTAGCAATATGGGAAAGCATTAGTGATAGGGCCTAGTGTTTCGGGGGGAAAAGTTTTTAATTGTTGGCCTTTCTGGGATTCTAAGGGGTCAAAGTGGTTTCTAAATGGCTAAACATCTCTAATTGGTAAGCCTAGATAAGGTTTGACAGTAACTTTATTTATTTCCTTTGTTCAAAGAAATATTATTATTTACTAATTTTTATTTTGATTTCCAACCCAATCCTTAACAAAATTAAAATAAATTCTCAAAGGTTTGCCACCTTATAAAATTAGAGCCATATTATGTAACAAAAAATCAATCAAATGATGATGATGTCTGTTTGGTATTTTTAAAATAGCATGCTTATCACAATGGAATTATATATTGTTTCTTCAATACCCTGTCCAAAACTACAAGGCTTTTTTCCCCAGTTTACATCAAATTGATTATGCAGTTGGAATACACACAGTTGTGTGTACCCACGTGTGGGCATATTGTCAATATTTTAAATATGATCTTCAAACTCTGTTTTTCTCACAAAAGGGATAGAATTTTTTGACCATTGCCACCAAATTAAAACAATCAAGCATGCATATAATCATGATGGGGACCTTTGGAGAAGCAGTAAAATGATGGCATTTGGCAATTAAAATCATACCTCCATGAGGGGTTGTTGTGTTGCTTCTCCTGTATTTAAAGATTGTTTGGTACAGAGATGAGAAGGAAGTGTCTCCTCTACTTTTTTTTCAACTTGAGAATATGCTGTTTCAGGGCCTACTTGAAGCTGGGTCGTTGAAATTTCTGCAAGTAGGATTTTTAATGTTATAATAAAACTCGTCTAATAATTTTCAATTTTATAGGGAATAAATACTTCTCTGAATGCATACCATAAAAGGAAAACTTGGGACAACCATCTACTTTCATATTATCGTCTCCTTTCAAAGCTTGAAAATCAATCCCATGGCAGAGACTAGTAAGGTTGGGAAGATCTATAAGCTCCAATTGACTTAGTTGTGGAAGCACATCCTTCATGACCATCTCTTTCATCTCTCCTTGTCTTACCAGTACATGCTCAAGTCCATTGGCTCTACTTATCTTCAAAGAGCTTAGTTTTGGAAGGATACCAGAAATAGTGATAGAGAACAGGTGCCTCAATTTGTCACAATCATTGACAGAGACTTGTTCTAAGCAGGGAAAGCATGGTTCATGGCACAAATGATGATCATCATCATTTGTTTCATAATCTTCTTCAACAATGTAAACTAATTCTTCACATTCTGATATATCTAGCTCCTGCAACATTGGTAGGCTTCTCACTATTGATTTGAACCTTTTTAGTCGCTTTGGGTTAAATCAAAAATAAAACCAAATTATGCAGTAAAGCACAACTCGGGTCGAATCTCTTGAGGAGCTTTTTATTAATTCCTTAGTTAACTAAGTGACAAAGAATTAAAAGGAGGGGTTGAAAAAGGATTTTTCACTTAATAAAACTAATTAAGAGAGTAAGAAATAAATCTAAACTACTTTTTTTTTTGGGTATTTTTAAGAAAGAATGAAAAATGCAAATTTGAATTGTAAGAAATCAATAACAAGAATGCTCTTGAGGAATGAATCAATGACTATCCTAGCTTGTTTAATGATATGGGAGTAACTTAAGTGGTTGAGATTGGTTTATATAAGTTATTCCTTTTAAATTAATACTCAACTAGAATATTAATTACTTGTTAAATTCACTTCAAGCATAATTTCTATACAACTCGCATAAAGATCACACTAACAATGAATTAACAAAGGCATAACATAAATATATGTATAAACCAAGTACTCAAACTTATAAATACCAATCTAAATCTCAGCAATTCCAATCCAAACCAAGAATTACAACTAGCAATTCTTAGCTTTAAACCAAATATAACAAACTTCAAACCAGAAATCATCGACAAAATAGTCTAAACTAAGGACTAGAATTAAACTCCCCTTTGTAGCTCCCAAACTCAAGTCATTGAATTCAATCCCGAAGAGCACAACGAACTCAGCCTCTCATAGTCTTGAACCAAGCTACAACTCGTGCCAAAGATTTAGCAGCCATGGAGGACGGTTAAGTTGGTGGCAATGATGTGTGGGACGTGGTTGATGGAAGAATATGAAAATGAATTTTGGAAGATTGAAATTGAAGTGTTGCGGCGGTGGCGTCTGTGCGAACTTGAAGAATGACTTTTTGAAGGGTATTGGCCGTGTGTGTGAGTGGAATTAATGTTGCGGCTTGGGTCTTGAATGGAGAGAAGGAGGACGCGTGCGGCGTGACTGTGTATATGGCTCTGTGGTCTTGCGTGCGGCTGTGAAGGACGTGAAGGGGTGTGAGTGAGTTTTTTTTTTTTTCCCTCACTCCTCTCTATTTTTTTTTTTTGAAATTGGCATTCAAACACATTATGAAAGATAGTAGCAACATTCTATGATATGACAAGTCATGAGTATGTTAAGATGCTTTGAGAATGCAATTGAGATGTACATGCATTGTCGCTTGTCGAAAACGAGAATAAAAGAAAGTGAAGGCTCAAAAGGGGTATGTAATGGATAAAAATGATAGAGGTTTGTGTTTGGGATAATAGGGTTATAAATATGAATGCCTCAATCACTTTTATCATATAATCACAATGTAATTAGACTAAGAGTTGAAACAAGTTCTGCAGAATGGAAAATTAAGTGGATAATCACACAAAGAAAGGAAATCAGGCCCAAAAATCTTCCAACAAGGTTTATTCTCTCATGCTCATCACATTGGCTAATTAGACACCAAACTAATCACAAAGCATTAATCAAACTACTCAAATTACTAGCTGTAGGAGTATCATAAATCAAAGCATTATATTCAATCATGAACAAGCATAACTCCAAATTGAAATAATGAAAGCCATTTTCTCTCTTTTCAAAACATGGAGTAGCAAAAATCTAAATACAAGGTATAATGAGTAACAGAATCACCAAAACCAACAGCAGAAACAGCAAGACTCAACTAAGTTATAGGACCACAGCAAGCAATAGAAGGACTAAGAAATACAAAACCTTCCCCCACACTTAAATCATGCATTGTCCCTAATGCATAGCCCAAATGTAGAGTAGCAACAAGAGTAAGAGAACTACAAAGGAGAGATTTTATTGAATAATAAATAAAAAAAACTACATCTACCTTTTCCTACTGGATTACCCCTTCCCCCACACTTAAATCAAACAAACATGTTAAACAGATATCACGAGTAATCATAAAACATGGAAAATGAATCAAGGGAAGGAAGGGGACAACCTGATGAGTTATGGGGGCTTATAACTCGAATGGTAAAGCTGGAGCCGATCCAACTTCACTCGCATCCGCTGCCCTTTAGCAATCTTCACCACTGCTTTCTTTTCATGTGGGCAAACAGAAGTGATAACCACAGGTCCAATCCATCTTGCTTTTCTCTCATGCTCTAGGGTCTCGAATTTAGAGAACTGGACCCAAACTGACTCACCAACGGCCAATGATTTTGCTCCTTCATCTTTTTTGAACTTCGGATCATCAATAGGAACGTCAAGTATTTGGAGATGGCCAATGAGGTGGCTGATGTCATAAGATGTGAGTCTAGACTTTCCTTCTTCTGTCTTTGTTTCTTGAGACTCTACACTCTGTACTTCAATACTATTAAAATCACCATATGAGCCAAGGTTAGCTTGCAAGATGGATTCAACAAGTCTGGCTTGCTTCCGCTTCTTTGTCTTTTTCTTGTTGGCTTTGGAATGGGCAAGAGCTGCTACAGTAGCTTGTAGGGACTTGACCTCTGTGATCAATTGTGTTGTAAGCTCAACTGAGTTCTCAATCCTTCCAGTGGTACCTGCAGCATTAACATCCACAATACCTTTCTCAAGCCAATTTGAATCAGAAACAAGAGCAACATCTGATGTGTTAACTTCATAAGTACATGGTGTGGAAAGAGTACAATCCACATGAGCAACTGTAGAGTACTTCACGTCATCACCATGCATGGGGGAAGGAGAAGAATGTGAGGGAGAAGTGGGGGGTAGCATATAACCATCAGTGTGAGCGTGTGTAAGAGATAACCCATGTTCACTAGAAGCATCATTAATCAAAGCATCAATAACACTAACACCAAACAATGAATTATCTTCATACAATCTTTTCATAGAATCTTTAATGTTGAAATGAACATAATGATCTCCCACAGACATAGTAATAGTCCCTTTTGGCAAGTTGATATTAGTATTTGCAGTCATCAAGAAGGGTCTACCTAGTATCAAAGAACCGTTACCCCTAGACTCACTAGCTATATCCAACACATAAAAATCAGCTGGAAAGACTAGGTCTTTCACTTTTACTAAGATGTCCTCAAGTATTCCGTGTGGATACCTAATGGTCTGATCAGCAAGTTGGAGTACTACATTTGTTGGCTTAAGAATATTAACCCCTAAAGACTCATAAACTGACTTAGGCATCACATTGATAGCAGCTCCTAAGTCTAATAATGCATGGGGAATAGTACTCTTACCAATGGAGCAGGGTATAGTAAAGGAACCTGGATCTTAACACTTGACCGGGAGAGGGGATTTAAACATAGCAGATACATTCAACCCTAACTGAACCTTGTCATGCGGCTTAAATTTTCTTTTATTAGTGCACAAATCTTTCAAAAATTTAGCATATTGAGGCACTTTCTTAATCAATTGAAGCAAAGGAATATTAACCTCTAATTTACTAAACATCTCAATCAATTCATTCTCATGTTGTTCATTATGCATTTTCTTTTGTGAATTGAGAAAAGATTGAGGGAAAGGAATATCACTGACTTTTACCTCTTTACCTTTATGTACGATAGTTCCTTGTTGGCTTGATTCATCATACTCCAATGTTGTGCACTTGTCATCTGGAACCACTTCAGTATGGTTGTTTTCTTCTTCTTGCCCTTCAGTAGGCTCTTTCCTGTTAACTAGCAATGCTCTTTCCTTAGAGCTCTCAGATTTCTTGCTTGGTGTAGTAGAATGTGGAACAGGCTCAGTTTCTATTTCTTCTTCCATATTCTTTTCATCTTCTTCAGTGAAGTGTACTTTCCTTCCGCTTCTCAGAGTGATGGCATTAAGGGCTTTAGGATTGATAACTGTATTAGAGGGTATGCCTCCACCTCTGGCTTGCAGATCACTCATAGTATTGGCCACTTGAGTTAGATGAGATGTCACAGTATTGTTCTTCAACTCTAACTCTTCCAACTTCTTACAAATGGTTGTATTATCACCTTGCATCCTTTGTAAAATTGTGGCAATGGATGAAAATTGGCTATCATTCAAGGCTTTATCTTCTTTCAACCGGTTATCCATATTGCTAAGTTGGGTAGCCATACTCTTCAACAATTGGTTGGTCTCATCACTCTTTGGTTGAGAAAGTGAATTTTTCTGGAGTAGAATGACCATCCTTGAAGGTTCTTGAAAATGGCTTGAAGAAGCACTAAGTCCACTAGTTCCCTCTTGAAATTGTTTTGACCCTCTGTTATCATTATCCCTCTAACTGAAGTTAGGGTTCTGTCTCCACCCTTCGTTGTATGTGTTGGAATAGGGATTCCATTTTTGGTTTGTAGGACGTCCTTGAAACATAGCAGAAACTTCTTCGTATTTTGAAGGACATGCATTGCTTATGTGCATAGGAGAACCACAGTAATCACAACTAGGAGCTACCAATGCTTGGGAAGTTCCCATTGCATTACATTGTCTAGGAACCCTTTCACTCTCTAGTTTCTCTAATCTCCTATCAATCTTCTCCATAAACTGCTTAAATGCATCATTAGAAGAGGATGAAGCAACTTCTCTAACATACTGTCTATCTCTAGTGCCATATTGTTGGTCATTTGTGGCAGTCTTCTCAAAGAGGTCCCAGGCACCTTACGGAGTAAGATCAAGAATTGAACCATTAGTAGCAGCATTAACAGTCCTCTGATAATATGGCAAGAGACCCTCATAGAAATACTGAACCAATTGTGACTTAGGCAATTGATGATTTGGACACCGAGACATCATGGTTAAGAACCTAGTCCAATATTCATAGAATGACTCCCCTTCATCTTGTTGTGCTCCGAAGATAGCTTTCTTAAGTTTGGAGGACCGAGATGCAGGAAAGAATTTCTCAAGAAAAGCGTTCTTGAGTTGCTCCCAGGTAAGTGTCGCATAGTGCTGGGGCAAAGTTCTTAGCCATTCCTTGGCTTTTCCTTCCATGGTAAAGTGAAACGTTCTTCTCAAAAATTCCTCTACATTTGCACCCTGTGGCT